CTTGCCTTTTTTTGGTTAGTGGGTAGATTTGAAAAGCCGCGCCCTAGGTTGCGCAAGCGGGAGTTTTCTAGAGATATACGTCATGTAGGTAGATGGTTATTTTTACGTAATAGGTTAATTATCGTTGCCGAATCGTTGTAGTGGATTACTTATCGAAGGGTCGATTTCCGAGCTAGGCATTTTTGTTGATCGACCGTGATGTGTATCTTCGTTTATACTGTAAGTTGTATTTGAACTAAAGAGTAGTACTGGTATTTGCGCCATTTGAATTTAACTTGATTTGATCGCACTAGTATTTGTTATTTGTTAATTTGATTTGTGCCTTTTCTTTTGTGCTAACTTGTATTTGGTTGATACGTAGTAATTCGTATTTGTGTAATTTCTATTCAACGCGATTTGATAGGAACTGCATTTATTAACTGTTAATTTTTGTTGTAATTTTTGTTTGTTATCTTTGTAATCCGTGCTCAAGCCGCGTCGTAATTTGTATTTAATAGTGATGACATCGCCCAAGCTACTGATCCGTTGTTTGCGGACTGAGCTACGCTGGGCCACAAGCGCCCATGCTTTGATAGGTCGATCGGATAGGGTCCATAACTTGATAAAGCGGTTCGAGCAGGTGGATGCTCGAAGGGCCGCAGTGGAGGAGGCTTACGCTGAGCTCGAGGATTCGGATGTGGAGAAGGGAGTCCTGGACTCCTGCTTCGCGGACTATGAGCAGTTCTTGTGGCTCACGGACGAGTTGATCGAAGCTGAAGGCAGGTATGCCGAGGAGGCGCGTGAAGCTCGGATGAGTGACCTGTCCGAGTCCTCTCTGAGGCAGCTTCAGCCGGAGCTGTTGGGACGACTCCCAACTCTGGACCTGCCAAAGTTCTCCGGGGTCCTTTCCGAATGGCTGACCTTCGTTGGTCTTTTCGACAGCCTTGTGGACGCCCGGAGTGACTTGACCCCGAGCCAAAAGATGGCGTACCTCCTGGCCTCACTGGAGGGGGAGGCCCTGGGCGTCGTCGGCCACTTGAGATTGTCGGACGACGCCTACCAGACTGCTCGGGACCTCCTAGCCAGAAGATACGCCAACGTCCGGCGAATTGCGGACGAACATGTTAAGCAGCTTCTAAGCCTCCCGCTGCTTAGTGACCGGGCCAGACTGCGTCCGGACCTGTTGGATCCAGTCTTGGTGGCCTGTAATACATTGAGGCGGCTGGGTTTACCAGTGGGCGAATGGGCTTTTTTGTTGCTCCGCATCGTGCTGTCCCGTCTACCTCTCGACCTTCGAATCCATTTTGAGGAGAGGTACGGCGGGGACGAGGCCTCCTATATTCCGCCCTTCTATGACCTGCTGCGGTTTTTGAAGGAGCAGTGCCGGCAGATAGAGAGCGCGGCGGGCACCGTTAACGACTTACGAGCCGTGCCCAGTGAGAGGCTGAATCCTCCAGGCAAGTCGTCGTCAACCCCCCCCCTGCTCCTATTGCCGAGCATCTGATCACCGGGTAACGTCGTGCCCGAAATTATTAGGTAAGCCGGTTCCAGCGAGGCGAACTATTGCCAAGGAGCGCCGCTGGTGCTGCTCATGTTTGGGAGGACACCTCCAGCGAGACTGTCCGCATCGGCGGCCCTGTCTGCATTGCCAGGGCAATCATCATGCCGTTTTGTGCCTGAGTGCGAACGGCGTCTCCTCTCGGGGCTCTGCCAGACCCTCGACCCCCACGGGCGGGGGCGCTCAGCCACGCCCTCTGCCGGGCGACTCTCGGCGCCCGCCGGCCAGCCATCAGGCCCCTAAGTTTGAAAGGGGTCCCTCCCCCGACCAGTCGGGGGGTAATTCCCCCAGGGGCGGGGGTGTCATCACCCCCCCCTAAGCGTGTGGAGAGGAACTTCATGGCCACTCATCGGTCCGCTGGACCCTTCTCACTCCCGTTAGCTGAGTGGTCGCGACTGGTGTACCACTGTTCCCCATTTGATGGAGGCGGCCCTGGCTAGCTGCCGCCTTAGCTCCCACCACGGCCACCTCCACTGAGCCTTAAGCCGTCAACAGTCCACTTGTCAAAATGTTCTGTTGCCGACGGCCTCAGTGAAGGCGTACAACCCGAGTGGCGACTGTTAGCGATCTCGGGTTCACGCCATGTGGCCTCCCCTTGGTGGTGGGAAGATTAGGGCCCCTCTGGAGCGTTGAATCACGCTGTCAAGGGGTATTAGATTTGGTTTGGTCGAGCACTTAGTCAAAAAAAATACTTGAATTAAAATTAAAAATTGCTTTGGGCTTTCCGCGAAATTTTCCTAGTTGTAGCGGTTTAAATTAAAAGAATTGAATTTAATCTACTCCTTTAAATGCTACTGCATGTGTTTTGTACATATATTTAATCACTGTATTTGATTGTTGCGTCTGTTTGCTGAAAGGAAATTGAATGGCGCGCTATTTGAAAAATTATGTAACATATACATATAGCGTTTAATCATTTTGCTTTGCGAAGAAGTAGGGCTGTCCCTTACGTTATTGTTTTGTTTAATTTGCAAGTTGACCTATGCGCATCGGTGATTAATTTGGTTGAATTAATTTTGTAGTTGAACATTGATGCTTTTGAAAAATTAGTTGAAATATGAGCATAGGACTACTTGCCTAACATGCTAGCTAGTTGTGGAGATTATCAGATTGAAATCAGCTGCCGCACTATTTTAGTAAATGATAATATGGTGGGTGTCCTGGCTAGGCCTACTTGTTGAAAATTCATACTAGGGACTATCTGTGCGTTTCGTTCGGCTCTTCACAGACGACGTTCATGTGGAATTTGTGGGTGCTCTCTGCACTGAAGCTTAGGAGGCCGCTCGGGGTCACTTCGTGTCGCGTCGCTGTTTGCAGAGCTGATCCGGTCGGATTGCGGAACTAATCATAGGGGCACAGATAGGTGTTTGAAAGAGGTCGTCGGACTTCTGTCCAGTACAGGACTTGTTAAAGTGCTGCCATGCCCAGGAGGGGCATCCAGTGGAGGCTGACCCTCCGGCTTGCCACATTAGGGCTATTTTTTGAGGCGCTGGTTAGGGTTGCAAGATCTGATGGGGTGCCTAAGGTGGCCTAGTTTGGTTGTAGATTCGGTCTTGCAACTTGCCTTCGCGACCTTGTCCCGCTGACCGGTTTGCTCGCGGACCTAAATCCTTATGTCCGGGACGGGGGTTTGTTCGCGCAAAACACTTTCAAGGATTGACGCGAGAGGGCGCTCGGCGCGGTGCATTCATACCGGTTTGACTTTCGGTCGTGCGAAAAACGCCCAAGGGCAGTCAGTCGTCTTTAATCGGTGCTGACGTGAGCACGCGGTCCATTCTGTTAGGGAACTCGGAATAATTAGGTGCGGCCCGTAAATATACGGTCTAGGATTTGTGACGCGCATTCCTACTGGAGAGCTTCCCGGGACTTATTGTGTCTGACTCAAAACCTGCATAAGTGCATTCGGCAATATTAGATAGTGCGGCCTCTGATATTCTAGAATTAACTATTGCTACGCGAAACGGTAGTGACCTTTGACCCTTTAAACTCCGTGTGCGTTTGTGCGGTAACCATTATACCCAGCGATAGTTAGTGGCTTCTGTAAGTTAGTAAATCGTACGATAGAGTTAAGTGACTGTCATCGTGACGAGAGAAGAAAGTGACTGTGGGCAACCTCGGAAGGCCCCCTCAAGTTGGAGCGGTGTCGACGCTCGGGCTGCTGCCGACGGCCAAGGTCTAGGTTCAATCACCATCAGTCACACCCAGATACACATCACATCACTTATTTCCCTTTCACTACACAACCACATGTGACCTGACTGACTCCGGAGGGACCAGTCGCCTTGGATATAGGTAAGTGAACTCCGCCTAATTCCTCTGCCGGTCGACTGGCCGTAGTATAGAACGCTCCCCCATATATTTTAGTGTAATTCGAGAGATTCCACGTGGCCACATTGAGGCCCGACCTACGTCTGTTCGGGAAGTCTTCAGCTCATGGGCCCCTGAGGATTGGATCCTTTAAGGGAGCAGCCGTAGGCCGTAACAGTTAATTATATCGAGTACAATTTTTTTTTAAGTTGTCATTTACTTTGCCTAATTTAATATAAAATACTCTTATTTTAATCTAAACAAACATAGTTGTAAATAAAATGTAATAATTACTATCTTTGATAATAAATGTATGTTTTTATATTTTACATAATTATCTTTTATAATATTAAAAAACATTAAATGTAACTGTGACATAATAATAAGGTTTCATTCGTCGTTCGTTTGTCAGGGCGGGTGTTGTTGAAACATTGTAGGAAACTAAAAGAAAATGAATTGTTATGCGTTTATTCGAGCTCAACAAATAAAATAAAATGGTATTGTATACAAGCACATATTTTACCTACATTCGGTTTTGTAATGGAACATCTGCATGTTTTAGTCTATAATTTTAGATAGCGTGGCATTTAAATGAAAAAAATATTTTTTCCATGGTAATACTACGATATTATTATCTATTTATTCACTTGAACAACAAATAATTTTACTTAACTAACTACTGAATTGTTATTTACGTCCAGGTTTAAACTTTAATTTGAAATCACGTATTATTAGCACCGCTCCACACTGCATGAATATTGAAGCTACACTAAATGACACTAAAGCTAAAGTAAGATGTATGGATTGCAGTACAGTTCATATAATAGTGAATGTTCGGAATGCGAAATCTAGTGCGTAGTACATATATATCGATGCTGTTACGGGAAAACAATAGTAGAAATACTAATAAAAATTGTTTACAAGAGAAAATGATTTATTTAAGCTATGTTTTCTACATCTAAAATAAAGTTATGTTTATTGAGCCCCATTTAATTAATACCAACTTTAAAACAATAATATTATATACTACTTTACATAAAAACATTCATAAGTTTTACATAAGAGCTACAGTTTACATTACTTAGCTTGAGTATCATTTTGTGATCGATTACCGTAAGCAAATATCGTTACCGTCATGAAGTATATTTATTTCATTTTACTTGCTTTCTTGTGAAGAAAACCAGGCCTGACAAGCTTCCGTTGCAATTTCACATAATGCTGTAAAGGCTTTGCTGCGGGCATCGTAATCTAAAAAAAAAATAATTATATTATACCTTTAAAAGAGCATGTCCATAGTTTTCGTATTATATAAATTTGAAATCTATTTTGACATTTGACAGTGTATTACAATCTGCCACTCCTTTTTAAAACGGTATCTTGCCGTCAAAGGAAACTGATCCTGCCAAGACTGAATTAATTAAAAAAAATATTGAACTTGCAAGTGAACTTTCAGTCCTGCATCCCATGGTGATTGGCTACTGCAAACCATGGACATCCACGATTAACTTCAAATAAAGAAGGCTACAAGTGCAGTGTCACCTCTGAGGACTAAGATGGAATGCCTCACAGCCTGTATTTATATGGCTTGTTATTATAGGCTATTATAATTATTTTTACTAGATTTCACGTCTATAATAAACCTGTGAAAGAAGCTACATATTATTATACTAGCTGTTCTCCGCGACTTCGCCCGCGTGTTATTTGGGGTTTTAATTTTTTTGCGCGGAACCCTAATTATTTTTCTGAAATAAAAGTAGCCTAAGTTACTCCTTATGACATCAGCTATCTGCCAGTGAATATCCTATCAAAATCGATCCAGCCGTTTCGGAGATTAGCCGGAACAAACAGACAGACAGACAGACAAAAACTTTAAAAATTGTATTTTTGTTATTAGTACCTATATACTTTCATATGCATTTAGTAAAAAGCTGTAATTTTGACATTACAAACAGACACTTCAATTTTATTTATTTGTTTAGATATAAAATACGCCACCTATCAAAGACTAAATTTGATTGCACATGATTTTACAATTTTAAAATAAGTAGTCTTTATTTCAACTCCAATTATATTTTTTGACATTCATTACTTACCAGAAGGGCCTCTTTTTCCGAACATGATTCCATTCATTGGGGCATTTTTATAATTAGCTTGACTTACTTCGAATAGTGATAACAAAACTGCTACCAAACAAACGAACCATACAGTGGAAGAAGTCATTTTTCCAGCCATCTAGAAGAAAATATATTACGATATTTAACAAGAAAAATGAAAAATATATTTTAAGTTAATTTAACTTAGTAAACTCTTAATAAAAAGATTTACTTTGTAGTTTTAAAATTATATTCGAAACGCAGTGATTATAATATACTCGTTAATTATTTACCGGTACCACAGGAAACTAAAGCTTGACTGATGCTGAAAATCTTTGCTCCAGCCGTTATATAGTCATAGGGATGCCATCATCTCGTGGCAAAATTCAATTATTGGATTATTGAATGCTGACCGCATGTTGACAGAAGACCATCTCAGGGGATTATAAGTAATTAGTTTGTAATGTAGCTTAGTTTTGTGAACTAGATTAGAGAATATCGTTACTTACATAAATCAGATCTGTTAAAAATCTGCTTTAAAATATTATTATTAACAAAATTAATAGACCACTACTACGAAAATATTTATAATATATTTCAATATTTGTATACCGCAAATTCTCGAGGCAAAGTTACAAGAATAAAATAAACTATTTAGTTTCATTCTAAGTGTACACAACAAAAACACTGACGCCTGTCACCCAGAGGGGTAGGTAGAGACTACGGACTTCCATTTGGCGCGATCCTGACACACCTCTCTCGCCTCCTTTACATCCATATATCTACTGATACACGCTCGTCGGTTAAGGGTACTCCTAATCTGGCCCATTTTCAATGTATCGCCGATTTGGTCGATAAATCTTCGTCTAGGGCGTCCCTTCCCGAGTCTGCCGTTCACTTCTGAAACATAAATTTGCTTTGTCACTCTTTCCTCGTTCATTCTTTCTACATGACCAAACCACCGAAGCATTCCTTTTTTAATCCTGGTCACAACGTCATCTTGCAAATCATACTTTTCTCTTATCACACTATATCTCACCCTGTCAGATTCAGCCCTAGCATACTCCTTAATGACCGCATTTCTACAGCATTTATTCTACTCTCATGCTTCTTCTGCCAGACCCAACTTTCACTACCATACATTAAAGTAGGGACTAACACAGCATTATGAATTGCCATACGTGCCTTATTTGACACATTCTGACTCCTCATAATAGCGTGTAGAGCCCCATTCACTCTATTTCCTGTGTTCACTCGTCGTTCTATATGCTTGTCATATCTAGCATCCCTGCTAAATAAACATCCCAAATATACAAAGCACTAGAGCACCTATAAAGAGACTTTAATGCCTGTATCAAACCAGCGCTCAGTCTAAATGAGGTCAGTGTTTGCCATAACACGTTCCTGTCGACTCTGTCATAAGCCTTTTCCAAGTCCATGAATGCATAAAAAACTTTCTGGTTTTTGGCCAAAAATTTCTCCGCAATCATGCGCATGGAGACTTGATCCGTACACCCCATCCCCTTTCTAAATTCAGCTTGCACATCCCAAATTTTTCCATCAGTTTCTTCCATAACTCTTTCAATTAACACCTTAGCATACAGTTTACCCACAATGCTAAGCAAGCTGATACCACGGTAGTTTTTACAGTCCTGCTGTGACCCCTTTCCCTTATATATTGGGACTATAACGGCTTTGCACCAATCTTCCGGTACCCGCTTCAGTTCCCAACATAAATTAAACAAGGTGTACAACAGGCCTGCAACCACACCCTCTCCAGCCCTTACCACTTCGAGTGATACTCTATCATATCAGGCTGCCTTACCTGCTTTCATGCTTTTCATTGCTTTCATTATTTCGTGTACACTTATCTCCCTACCTCTCACAATTTCTCTCGGAATTTCTATTTCACTTAATTCAGACGACTCTTCACTCTTAAACACGCTTTCAAAGTATCTCTTTAAATTCGAAACTTTATCATTCAGCATGCAGCCATTCTCGTCTCGTATAGCATTCATTCCAGGCTGTTTTGATGTTCCCGTGGCAGTTCTTACGAGCTTCCAGAACATTTTAATATTTGCCTGGAAGTTATCAGATATCCTTCTATCATTCTTATCTATCCTTTCTTGCGTTTTCCTTTCAACAACTTCTTTTACTCTCTTATTTATACGTCTAAAGTTTGCCTTTTTTTTTTCAATTTCATCATTCATACCGCCAGAATTACCAGCTTTGGTCGCTAGTAACTCTAGCCATGCTTTCTTCTTTGCTTCAACTTCCATCCATACCTCATCATCCCACCACAACGTATTACTTTTCCTTTCATTCGTTCTATTACTTACACCACATACTCGTACTTCGGTGGCTGCATCCACCAAAACTTTCTTAACATTATTCCATACATTTTTCAAGACCATCAATTCGGCATAAGACCAAGTAACAATCCGTCCCTACATTGGACCCACGGTAAACCCTTGTATCACCCACTGCGCTCCTCATTATTTCATCCACAATTATGAAATCTATCATGCTTCTATCATCCCCTCTTTCCCATGTTGTATACATGTGAATCCTCTTATGGCGAAAGAAAGTGTTCGCCACAAAAAGATTATTTTCCACACATACGGTGAGGAGGTCTTCACCATTTAAATTTTTACTTTCATCGCCAAACGTTCCTAATATCCTTTCATAGCCAGACCTCTTCACCCCAATCCTTCCATTAAAATCTCCTAACATAATAATATTTTCATCAACACCAGCATTACTATGTCCCAAAACTGCTCTCGGATATTAGTGGGCTTAGACTTATCTGGGGCGTACACCCCAAGCACGAACAACTTTTTTAAGCCCACTTTCATTCGTATCCACAGCAGCCTTGGGCTTACACATTCATACTCTTTCAGAGATTCTTTCTGAAAGGATGACACCGACTCCCTGGCATGCCCGTTCGGTCTCGTCTACACCAGACCAGTAAGCGGTATACATGCCATGTGCAGTGACATCTCTTCCCCTTCGTTTCGTCTCATTTACACATAAAATATCTATTCCTTTATCATTCATCATTTCGTATACTTCATCCATCTTATCATTCATTGCTCCACATACATTCAGCGTAGCCAGACGGGCCTCCGCAATCCACTTTCGCCCCTCCGGGAGACAGGACGTGACGGGCGAACCTAGTCGCCGGTTTTTCTCCCGGAGATTCTTCGCACCCCTGCCCCATTAAAGGGGCGCCGGGAACTCGGGGCCATTTCCTTTAATTGTTGGCTCATGTTGCGAACTAAGGGGTGGTAGATTTTACGCCGAGTTATAAGAAAGGTATTCGCGTAAGAAACTATTAAATAGTAACTATGGTAATTTATATTAACTAAGTTACTAAATTTTAAAACGAAAAGCTGCATTTGCGAGGAGAGTTGACTGCTGTCCATCGTCTTCTTAAAATACTCCTTTAGTCGCCTGTTACAATAACCACGGGAATAGATGGGTTGTTCCATTCGTTAAGACTTTATTGATAAGTTTTTTTTTGCGGATTGTCAGTAAGTATATCGTTTGTTTCAATATCGTTATATAATACCAGCAACCGGCTCTAGTTCGGCCCTGTAATGACAACACTACCTAGGTGTGTGTAATGGCTACGCAATTTTTAGCGAATGTTTGGTTTTCTCCTCTATTATACTCGTGTCGCGCGCGGAAAAGGAAAGCATCAGTTCATCGACAGTTTTTTAATGTACTTAACTGTTTACACGTTACGTTAAAAACTTTATACCTTTTGTTTATTTAGTTGTTAGGGTGGCTGTCCCTAATACCAGCCATGCCCTTAATTCCAGCCTTTTCGCCTTTTTACTTCGTAAATAAGGTTTCTAGAAGTCTTAACTACAAATATTGTCACCTAAAAAATTCTTCTTAACTAGAGGAAAGTATATTTCAAATATTACCTCACAGTTTTAAACCTAACAGTGTTAATTTAAAACTCAAAACACGTACCTACGCAACGAAAATCGCTCATTTTCCAAATATTTTAACAAGTTGTGATCCTGGTAAAATGATGCTTACTTTACCTTATCTCATATTTAGGCATAGAAAAAATAGTATAGTATGGAGTTATTTTTGTATAAATTTACAAGTTTTTTATCTTCTTTAAGTTGAAATTAATGGGCCTGTAATTAGATATACGAAATGTATGGAGTGCATAATGTCAGCCGTCAGGCTGTTATTTGGTTAGACGTACCTAGTAAGAAATACATAATTTCAGCCACGTAATATAAATCAAGGCTGTCATAAACTGGAATGAACACCATTAATTAGATCGTAACTTATTTTATAGTTAAGGGAGTTATGATCAATTCGTCTATGTTTTAAAATTGGTTTTTGATTTTAAAGTTTAGCAAAAGATGTACTAGCTTTACTATCTGACATTCGGTGTATATTATTACCTTATGTATTGAACTATTTTTTGAGAAAGAAGAAAAAACAAACATAAAATATAACTTAATACTAATTATAACTTAGAACATAAATGAAAAACTTATGACAAGGAAAGGGGTTCAGGACCAGGCTTTGCGGCAGTCTATGGAGGATTGGTGGAGGATGTTCAGTAGTGGACTTGTGTAAGGTTGTAATGAGGATGATGATTTGAAAACTTGGAGGATTAAATTATTAGAAATCGATGTGCTACATAATATTTTATCATAATTTGTTTTAATTTATTGAACTGCTTTAAATTAAAACACAGTAAGGTAAGTAGTAAAATATTAAAAAAAATTATGTTATCGCCTGCCTTAATACATATTTCATGCTTGTGACATGCAGATTGAAAATTAAAAGTTGTTAGAATTTATTACTGTGCCTCTAACTTATAACCTATTGTAGGTACAATAGGTACCTACACAAAAGGACGAAAGGAAAGGTGTTAATGGGAGACTTTAATGCAAAACTAGGCACAAGAGAGAACGGTGAGCTGAAAGTAGGGAAATTTGGAATAGGACAACGGAACCCAAGGGGCCAACAGCTGGTTGACTTCATGGAGAAAGAGGGACTCTTTATGATGAACTCTTTCTTCCAGAAGCGGCCCCACAGGAAGTGGACCTGGTCGAGCCCCGACGGTTCGACAAAAAATGAGATTGACTTCATTATGACGACCAG